AGTACAAAATACCATCTCTTAATAAAGAAACGTCATCACTGACTGTGGCTCCAGTTCAGTCTATGTTCACTGAATCACCACACAGCTAGATAGAAACTGTGTATATATTTGCCTAATGTTATATTTGCCTAATGTTCGGCTGAGAGCAGCAACACTGTTTTCTGGGAAATTTCTATAGACTATTGGTTACATGTTAAAACCTGGCTTACTGCAATGAACGTATTATCACTTAGGGGTTTCTAAAAAGTAGTAGTCAATGACTGTTGTTTTGTAGATAAACCTGACTTTTGTTCAGTAATTCTGTGTTTTGCTGTAAATGTTCATAAACTCTTGCCTAACCACAAAAAAGTTACCTGGAGCATGTTATTTGATTCAATATGAACTATGAATACATAAGAGCAACTGGTAAGATACCAGGACCTGGGTCAGTTCAGACCCTTAGTGTCGATCTGCACAGAAATTCCTATTTTTCTGTTTATAAGGACTGAGTGCTGACTAGGGGTGAGCAGTTTTTTTTCTCGGTATTTTTTGATTCAGGTCTATTAGGCCTAACAAAATTTCAGGATTCCTTTAAAAAAAAAAAAAAAACCAGATCCCAATACCAGTAAAGTATTTGGATCCCAAACTGAAAAACACAGAGGGTAAAAAAGCAGCTGCAAAGCCACAAAAAAACAGCTAAGAGATGGCTCAGTTGGGGCTCTTTTGGGCAGTCCCTTAAAACTGGACTGCTCAACAGAGTCCCCCAGTTTAAAGGGATTGCAGAAGAAAGCCCCAAAACAGCTGAGCGGCAGGAGCAATCTGCTTCAGCCCCTCAGCTGTTGTTCCGGGTTTGCTGGTAATTCCCACATATATCCGGGATTTTTTTCAGGGATTTTTTTGGTTCTCCCAAAATATACCTGGAAAATACCGATAAAATTATTTTCAAGCATATTTTCGGTTTGGGTAGACCTGAATGCACACCTCTAGTGGTGACACTGGTGACTTCAGAAATGTAACGTCAATGAAAAGGAGCTCTCAGAATTGTTCCATGGTAATAGCTTCAGCCCCTCAGCTGTTGTTCCGGGTTTGCTGGTAATTCCCACATATATCCGGGATTTTTTTCAGGGATTTTTTTGGTTCTCCCAAAATATACCTGGAAAATACCGATAAAATGATTTTCAAGCATATTTTCGGTTTGGGTAGACCTCAATGCACACCTCTAGTGGTGACACTGGTGGCTTCGGAAATGTAACGTCAATGAAAAGAAGCTCTCAGAATTGTTCCATGGTAATAGCTGCATCATCCAGAACAATCTCCAGATCCATGATACCCAACTCAAAAGCAGAACTAACCCCACTGACCCCTCACCGTGGGATCAGTGGGTCTCCTGGCACCTGCTTGGTTCTTGGGAATAAGATACTAGTAGATGAGGAAAAACACAACACATCACCAATGTTCCCTCTAAGCTGTGAAGTCTTGTGAGCAAAAATTCTGCTTTGTGAGTTACTGGCTTTAAAGTTGTGAGCCAGTGATTTGGCTACTGCATAAATCAGTTAGCTCTGGAGCCCTCCTTCCTGAGCCAAGGCAAAAGTGTGTGAGCTGGAGGCTAAAAAATTGTGAGCTAGCTCACACTAATTCAGCTTAGAGGAAACACTGCACATCACTCCCTGTCTAACTGAGCACTGAACTAATCCCAGGCAAACAGATCCCAACTTTGTGCCCTCAGATTGGCTATAGATGGGTTTTTTAAAATGTCTCTGGGCTTGGTAACCTCTTCCTATGTGCACACAGGATGCAAACCATCCCCATTCTTTTAAAACGGAGCAACCTCTCTTCCACCAAAAGATGAGCCAATCTGGCTCCCTCAAAGCAGCCATGTTGTGACTGAACATCCCCACCGTCAGGACATCCATTTTGTGGTGGCAGCCCCTATCCATTCTCAAAATTCCAGAAGTCCCTCCTGGTGCAACGTTTGAGAACCCCTGAGCTAACTGACCTATCTCTGTCCGCTTGGTATCCCTGAACAAATTCTTTCAGCTCAAGTGGAGTGGCTGATGCATAAAAGACTCATGACAGAGCTCCAAATCGTGGGGGGGTGAGGGGGCGGGGGGGGGGGGGGGGGGCACGGCTTCACCACACTCTCCACTTTCTAACAGAGCTCTCTTCTGATGTTCTGCAACAAAAAAACCACTGGAATGTAATTTCCAAGAAAAACTAATGGAGCCCTAATTGTATATGAGGCCATCTTTACCTAACACCTGCAGGTCCAGACTCTACTTCAACCATATCTTATTAACAATGTTATACATCTTTTCCCAAATTTGAAGCCTACGCCTTCTTCAGTACATGCTAACCACAAAACTAACTTGACAAGAACAGGCTATGCAGACTAAACATTCTAGTACATTTTTTTAAAAAAGTTCATATCATAATTATCACTTTTTTCCACTAAAAGGAAGCCAGGGACCACAAATATTTTCCATTTCTGTGCATGTGGACAGGTGCAAAATCCAGATTGCATGGCAGCAAGTGGAAGCTACTTGAGCATAGATAGAACTATCTTTTTCAAAACATTATATTTTACCGTCGCATTAGCCAATTATGGGATTCATCTGGACAGCTGACAGAACAAACTGCCAAGGCCACTTATGTGTCATAATCAGACTACACAAACATATCAATTTCTTTCTTGGTTTATAAGGCTTTAAGAGACTGCACAGGAACATAAATTTTTCTACGCCAATTAGTACTCACTGTCAGAACTTGTAACCCAATACCCCCCTTAAGATTGCAAAACTAACCAACCATGTCGCAGAGAGTGGAAACAGCTTTTTTATGCATAACACACAGTTTGTCCTGCATCTCAAGGGAACAGGCAGCCATTTAATTGCTCAGTGAGAATAAGCCTAACAAAATCTGTCTACATTGTCATGTAAAAAGTTTACTGAGAGGCCTGCAGAACAGCAGTAAGAAGGTTTGATGGTTCCCTTCCTTCCAACCCAAGCGCGTGACAGATCAAAGGGAAAAAAATCATTATCCGGGAATATAACAACTGAAGATTCTAAATGTTTTAATTGAATCTTAAAATAATTTTATATTACTCATGGCAGCACAGGGTTAGACGATAAAGAAGAGATACAGCACACATATCCTCGCACTTATTTGGAAATTGGCTACCTGGAGCCTAGCACATCTGAATCACTGTCTAACACTGTTCCAATCAAAAGGCCTCAGAGAAGAGGGATGCAGGAAAAGCAGAACAGCTGGCTCTGGAAAAGGGGCCTGGTTTCAGCACTACTGGACTAGGGAGGCCCATATATTCAAGGCCTACACAACTAGAGCGCAGTCTTAGGCAAGGTTTCTCCCCTTCCTCCAGCTTCTGGAACACACTGCTGTGGTGCTATTCTAGTGTCGGACTGACTGCTTGAACCAACAGATGCAGAATACTGAAGGCGGAAGGAGTTACCAGTTTGTTGCTACTTGAGTGGTTCATAAAAGTATGTAGTAAGGAATGGTCAGGGTGACTTGCAGGGACTACACAGATGAGCAGGGCTATAATGGTTCTGGTAACAGCTGGTATCATGGTGGCAGCAAAAATCCTTCCCCCCATCACAGCCGTTGCTACCAGTATGCCACTCTGAGCTCCATGGAGAAAAGGCAGGAAACTAAAACAAAAAAAGCGAGTGACACGCTTAGTCACCAGACTGATAAAACCATGCTCTCCTTACCCAGCCATAAAATGGCCTCAAATTTACTCATGGGAGCTAAGAGGTTCAGAACTGCAGCAGAGTCTAGTCCCCTCTCCCTTGTACATACTGGTTGTTAAACACTCAGTCACGTCAGTGAGAAGCTGTTATTGGTTTTGAAACATTGAACAAGACACTTCGCTTGCATCTTCTAATATTTGTGGAATACGAAGCCCCAAGTGTGCATATATCAGCCTAAAACTAAAGGAAGGGGGAAATATACTCAAAATCCCAAACACATTGGGCCAGATTGAACCAAATTTCATCTCGTGAAAAAGAAAAGAGAGGTCCCTTTTAACCACACACACACAAAAAGCAACACTGGGGATAGTGGGACATGTATGGACAAAAGCCACCTGAGACAGGGACTTAAGTAAGGAGAGGAATGGGGCAAGACTGAATGAAAAACCTGGCTGGACCGAACCCCCCAGGCAGAAGTGTCCACCAACCTCACTAAGCTTACTTCCAAGTAATCTGTCTAGGAACAAGGAACTCATGCATCTACAACACTGGAGTCAAATCCAATGTCTATTTTGAAAACTTATAAAACATTGCCTTTAAATTGCACTTCGGTTCTGAGGCAAGAAAGCCAGAAAAGAACAGTACCTAGGCTAACTTATCATCAACCAAGAGCGTGAAAACTGAAATACCGAGATTAGCTGAAAGGCCAACCACTGATGCTCTAGTCTTCGAAGGTGGCAAAGAGACCATGAACAGAACACAGCACAAGCATCAAACCTTACAGGCAGGTTTCTGCACGGGGACACATCTAAGACAAAGCTTGCACTTCAGATAACACCTTTTTTTTAAAAAAAGCACAATTTTAGATAGAGCAATACTGGCATCCAGTGGCCAGTGCAATACTTCAGGCATAACTGACACGAAATGACACAGAAGTACTGAAAAATAAAATGCATGAACTATTAACAGTCAGTTTACAGCCAAGTTCGTAACATGCTTGTTATATTTATCCTGCCATATATAATGTCACATACCTGGTAAAGCAGTGATGAAGTCCCTTTGCAACATGGGCTTCAAGTAAGAATTAATATGTCCATGCTGATAGTGACACATTCGTGAAATAAGGTGTTCCACAAATTCAACCTGATCCGATTCAGACCACTGGTCAAAATATTTAATACATAAGTCTTTTTCCTTCTCGTAGTTTCCTTCCGATGGTCGCTTTCTTGAGACTATCACAGATGAAGTTCCATTGCTTATCTGTCGTTTTTTTTTAAAGAACAAGAACATAAACATCAGGCAATTAGCAGCAATTCAGGTTTTACCTGAACTTCTAGAACCTAGAGAGATTTTTAATGACATTATGCCAGCTATTCAGCTAAAGAAGTTTGTCTTCCAGATTACTACTAAGTAGCTAGCTCCATACAAGACCAACGTTCTTCTGTCCAGCAGTCTTCTCCACACACCACTTTGTACATTCTTTATACAGTTCCTTTCCATTTGGCTACTATTCCTATTTGAACTGCCACCATGACAGGGACAGGCTGGAGAGGGAACCCACTTACCTGAGGCCAGGAGGTACACGTCATGAGGAAAGCCCTGAGGAGGAGGTGGAAGCAAAAAGGTGCCCAAACAGCTCTGCCTCCTCAGGAAAGACAAGGCAAGCCCCAGGTGGAGACAGTGAGGGCTAACAACCCAAGAGGTAGGCAAGCCGGCAGGCAAGCCAGCAACAATCGGCAGCCACTGGGAGTGGGTGGGACAGCCCAGGGACTCTTTAAGGCAAGGCTTAATGGCAGCAGAACTGACTGAAAAGTCTGGTGTGTGTGTGTGTGTGGGGGGGGGAGATGGGACAGGGACAATGGACTCGAAACCCTTACCAGCTAGCTACGGGCCACAGTGCTACAGGTTGCTCTGAAGACAACCAGTTCTGCCACAGACATAAACTGCATCCTCCCCCCCCCTATAACGAATGGCTGCATTTAATCTTATATCAATAGTTTTAAGATCAGGATTCCATGACAAAAGCCCATCGTGCACTGTAAATACGTTAGGTGCTAAAATAAATGTGCAGCAATTGATATTTACTGCAAGAGCAAAGTACCAAAATTCTGCAACCACTGGACCTTTCTTTATCAACGGAAATTAACATAACCCTTCAGCAATAAAAATTTATGAAACTGAAGTGCTTTCCCAGGTACTCTTTGGTTGCCTGGTATGGATAAAGGCACAACATAGAGTTTAAACATATTCAAGCAAACTTCTTTTGCCAACTCTTAGGTGTCCCAAGGTGTGTGCCACACTCGGCTTTATGCCTAGAATTGGGCCAACATCTTATTTAAACAAAAGGTTGGCTACTAACCTTTAAATATTGGCTCAAAATTCATTTTAGAGCCTCTCCAAACTCTCTAATTTCATGCTTAGAAATGATACACACAGTCCCCTCTGGTTTTCAAAAACAGAAGAAAAAATTAATCAAATAGGCTTTTTCAACTGATTACTTTCTCCAAATGGACGAAACTTCAATTTTTCAATCTATTAGACAAAGACTATTCGATCTAGAATTACATAGCTTTCATCCTTCACATCTGCATATTTATTCACAAGCTCATCTTAACCTTTCAACCCAACATGGCCAAATGGCCCATTATTTACACAATCTCAGCCTTCCTTCCCATCACAGAGCCTTTACGTTGGCTCAACTAAACATCTTTCCCTCAAACATGTTGTGGGGGGTTTGTTTTAACACACCCCCCCCCCCCCCCCCGAAAGACTCTGCAAATGTCCCAGCATGGCCCCAGATTCAATCTCCCATATTATTCTGGACTGCCAGCTGCACACATGAATGAAACTTCTGAATGAATGAATGAATGAATGAATGAATGAATGAATGAATGAATGAAACTTTTACCCCTTCAGTCACGCTTTTTTACTAATAATCTTACAACTATTCGATATTTTCTTAGTGATGTTAATACTGATACTACAATTATGGTTGCAAAAATCTTAGCAGAATCAGCCACATTTAGATACAGTCGTTTTACATAATACACATATTTTATTGTCTAAATTTACTTACTGGAATTAAATACTTCTTCTAAAATGTATTTATTATATACTATTATACCATTAAAAGTGTCTGAATCTGAACCACTGGACCTGATTTCATAAGACCAAGCTGCTGTGCAAGCTTCAGTTTATATACGGTTCACATGGTTGTGTAACTACATCAACCACAAAACTCTGACATCTGAAGAGTATACATAAGAAACTACCAGAAAGTTGTGAGTTCCATACAAATTGTTCTGACACCTCTAAACAATGCCTAGAAAACAAAATGTATGGTTTAGCAAAGAGTGCAGAGTGGTGAAGGCTGATTTCCCTGCTAAGATGTCAGCGATATTTGTAATCGGAATTTCAATCACTGTGCCCACAGCACCACCTAGTGACCATACAGAACTGCAAGCACCTCCCAATGCAATACGCTTTGTTGTTGTTCAGTCGCACAGTCGAGTCCGACTCTTCACGACCCCATGGACCAGGTCACGCCAGGCCCTCCTGTCTTCCGCCGTCCTCTGAAGTTTGCTCAACCCGTCTTCTTTGACCTTCAATCTTTCCCAGCATCAGGGTCTTCTCCAGTGAGTGCTCCCTTCTCATTTGGTGGCCAAAGTATTTGAGCTTCAGTTTCATTATCTGGCCTTCCAGGGAACAGTCAGGGTTGATTTCTTTTAGGATTGACTGATTTGATCTTCTTGCAGTCCAAGGGACTCTCAAGAGTCTTCTCCAGCACCATAGTTCAAAAGAATCTATTCTTCGGCGCTCGGCCTTCCTTATAGTCCAATTCTCGCAGCCATACATGACTACTGGGAATACCATTGCTTGGACCATGCGTATTTTTGTTGGCAGGGTGATGTCTCTACTTTTTATCATGCTGTTTAGGTTCGCCATCACTTTCCTCCCAAGGAGCAGGCGTCTTTTAATTTCATGACTGCTGTCACAGTCTGCGGTGATCTGGGATCCCAGGAACGTGAAGTCTGTCACTACTTCCACGACTTCCCCTTCTATTTGCCAAGGAGTGACAAGGCCGGATGCCATGATCTTAGTTTTTTTTTATGTTGAGCTTCAAGCCCACTTTGCGCTCTCCTCTTTCACTCTGAGCAGAGGCTCTTTAGGTCCTCTTCACTTTCTGCCATTAGAGTGGTATCGTCTGCATATCTGAGGTTGTTGATCTTTTCCCCAGCAATCTTAATTCCCGCTTGTGATTCATCCAGGCCAGCATTTCGCATGATGTACTCTGCATATATATTAAATAAGCAAGGTGACAATATACATCCTTGTCGTACTCCTTTTCCTATGCTGAACCAATCAGTTGTTCCATATCCGGTTCTAACTGTTGCTTCTTGACCCTTATACAGGTTACTTAAGAGGCATGTGAGGTGGTCTGGTACTCCCATCTCTTTAAGGACCTACCATAATTTGTTGTGATCCACACAGTCAAAGGCTTTAGCATAGTCAATGAAGCAGAAGTAGATGTTTTTCTGGTACTCTCTTGCTTTCTCCATAATCCAGCGAATGTTGGCAATTTGATCTCTAGTTCCTCTACCTCTTCGAAACCCAGCTTGTACTTCTGGTAGTTCTCTATCCACGTACTGTTGAAGCCTAGCTTGTAGGATCTTGAGCATGACCTTGCTAGCATGTGATATCAGTGCAATTGTGCAATAGTTTGAACATTCCTTGGCATTGCCCTTCTTTGGGATTGGAATGTATACTGACCTTTTCCAATCCTGTGGCCACTGTTGCGTTTTCCAAATTTGCTGGCAAATGGAGTGCAGAACTTTAACAGCATCATCTTCTAAGACTTTGAATAGCTCAACTGGAATACCATCACCTCCACTAGCTTTGTTGTTAGTAATGCTTTCTAAGGCCCATTTAACTTCACATTCCAGGATGTCTGGCTCGAGGTCAGTGATTATACCGTCGTGGTTGTCAAGGACATCGAGGTCTTTCTTGTATAGTTCTTACTTTTCATATGCTATGCAGCAATAAATATACTATACATAGCAATACGCTGTGCAGCAAGAATTAAATCAGAAAACGTCAGCAAAAAACCCACATTGTTCTGAACTTCGGTTTACAGTGCCATAGTTAATCCACTGCTCCTCCACTGTGCCAGCATGCCTGGATCTGACTCCAGCGGAGAGCCCCGCTCCCTCCCATTTCCAGCTGCCACTGATGGGGTGACTGGAGGGGAAGCTGGGCGCAGCCATGCACCACCACCCCTCCATTGTGTCTGAAATAGTCATTATTTTCTGTGTACTGAGGAGGAGGAGGAGATTGGATTTATACCCCGCCCTTCACTACCCAAAGGTGTCTCAGAGCGGCTTACAAACTCCTTTCCCTTTCCCTCCCCACAACAGATACCCTGTGAGGTCGGTGGGGCTGAGAGAGCTCTTGACAGAAACTGCTCTTTTTTTCAAAAACAGCTATCATCAGAACTACAGCTTGCCCAAGGTCATCCAGCCAGGTGCAAGTGGAGGAGTGGGGAATCAAACCCGGTTCTCCCAGATTAGAGTTCGTGCACTTAACCACTACACCAAACTAAGAAGCAAATGATACATAATCATACCAAACAATTCATGGCTACTTTTGATCTCTCTGAAAAA